GAACCCAGGCTGGAGGTGGTGGTGAAGAAAAGGGATTTAAAATGGAACTTTTGGAGACCTGAATCCTGGCAAGATGCACAGTACAGGGTGAGGCACAGGCTTTCATACAAGGCAGATTGGCACAAGAGCAAATTTGCAGAGCAAATTTCTGTTCCCACCTGTATCACTCACTTTGTGCACAAGGGGTTTGACTCTGTATCACTGGGAATCTTTCCATTGGCTCTACTGGGCTTTGAATCGGAGTGATGTGCATCACAAGAAGCTCTAAAGCATGAGTTTCTGCAAGATCAAGGCCTAAAAATTCTCTTTTTCACATCCAGGAACCGCTGTCACCTTTAACGCAAGAATAAATTTGTAATGTTCCTGATAGAGAATGAAATGGGTAGAAAACTTATCTGGTTCCTTCTTGCTGGGAAGCTCATGGCCAGCCCAGCTGCTCTCTCAATACTTTGCATTCCCAATCCCTGCAAGCACACGGCAGGTAAGAGACACCCTGACTGTAAATGGGAAGACCTGTTCAGACTGGATTGTCTTGAGTGCTGTCCGTGGTCCTGATGTAAAAAGCAACGCCCTGCACTTAAGTGCTTGAGTGAAGAGCTCCAGTGTGCACAACAAGGACCAATGTGGGAGTACGTTATCCCTGTGGATTGTCAAGCAGTTGTATGCAAATTTGCTTTCCTGCTTTACTTCGGCAGCCTCTTTGTCTCCCACCCCCAGTGCAGCCTTCCCCAAGTGAAGCATGTTCCTGGCTGTTATGAAGAGCCCCCACCACCTACAGAGTTGATGTTTCTCGCCAAACCCGGGGTCAGCAACCCCCTGGCGTGTGGCATGTGAAGCCATTTTGCTTGACATGCCACAGCTGGCCTGGGCTCCCACTGGCCACGGAGCCTGGGCTCACAGCAGGCAGCAGAGAGGCTGCAAGCAGCCACACCAGGATCTGTGGCCCCGGCCTGGCTTGTTGCTGTCAGCGGGTGCGCGCACACCTTGGGGCAAATGGCAGGGAAGGGGCCAGGACTGTGCTGCCACAACAAGGATCACAGCTCTGTTTCTCCCTACTACCCCCGATCCATCCCTGGCACACCAACATCTTACAAGTTGAGGTTGCAGGGTGTTTTGGCGCTGCCCAAAAATGTTGCTGACCCCTGCAGTAGCCCAAGATGAAGAAATGCCATGATATTCTTCTGTGCCTGATATAGGGATTTTCAAATACTTTAGCTTCACATACTCCACTTACTTCCCAAATAGACGAGCAATATCAGTCTGCCTGTCTCACCAGTCCCCTGCCCCTGGTTCCCTATATAGCAATTCCCAGATCTTCCACTTTCTCCCAGCTTTTCTTCATCCCACCACCCCTCCAGTGCGACCATTCACGTTAATGAGAGAAGAACGGGTTCTGCTAGTGGATTGGGGAGGTGGTTTACAAAGCCAAAGTAAAGGTCCTTAAACTCCCTGGGAGGAGTGGACATGATGGATTATTTAGGCCACCGATTGGGATTATCTTTGGTTTGGGGTTTGCAGGAACTAAAGCAGTAAGACAACGTATGGAGGAGGCTAAAAGTGCCCCTTGCATTGTCTCCTTTTGGTGTCATTCAGGTTTTGGAAAAGTAAGACTGGAACAGTAAACCCATGTAGATCTCGATACCTATGAACCTAGGCAGACATGTGCTACGTTGGGGAGACGTTTATAGCAGATTCTTGCGCATGCTGTGCAGAGTCTGTGCTGTGGTTTTGTCAGTGCACTTCAGGCACTGGAGAGAGAAAACGTTGACTTGTTTACAGGTGGTTTTAATGCCATGGCTTGAATCACTGAACATAACATTTTGATATGATGCCTGAATAGCTGAATCTAGAAATCTCATTGACTGCGCTTAGCAGTGACAGGTAAATTGTTATATCTTTGGATAAAAGTTGTTTGGGGGCGGGGGGAAATAGAAGTGAAAGAACCAAGGTTTCCTATTTTATTATACGAGAGATATTTTTCCACTAAATTACTGATTCCTAAATTATGTACTTTGTCTGATGTAAATAGCCAGGTGTGTTGTGAAGACTTAAGAAGGCTCATTGTAGTCACATGCATATGGTCCACTCTGTTCGCACAATATTGAGCTGATTTGTTTTATACTTATGAAATTACAGAAATAAAAACAATTTTACTGGACCACTCTGATTTGCATTTTTCTCACTATGTTCTCACCTTGCATTATTTACTTTGGGAGCAAAATCAAAAGCTAGCAAGAGAAGGATATAATGCTCGAGGACATGATTTAGCCTTAAACCTGTGGCATGAAAAATCATGGGATTCATATTTACCAGATCGGGGTTTCTTGGGGGTTCTGATAACAGGACAGTCATGTCTGTAATTCTGGCTGGAGCTAGACATTATGGAGGCTTGCAGCCAGGGGTGGCTTGTGGAGAAACTTTTCTAACAACTGCCCAATTCAGCCCTCATACAACTAAAACATATTCATTCCTAATGTACCCCAGGTAGTTGCCCTAATCTCAGCAAGTCTTGTTAAATAGGTCCTGCCTGTGCCGTGATCACCAAAGTGCTCTGTTTTATCCTTCCCTTGTACGTGTTGAAATTGTCTGAGGGTTAGATTTGAGAAGGACCAGATCATCAGCAGGTGTAAATCAGAGATTCCCAGAGATCAAGTGAAGAGTTTGGCCCTACAGACCTTTCAGCTGGGTTTAGAGGAAGTACCAAGACCAGCAAGGTCAGAACAAAAAACAAGACAAGTGGCCTGTTGCATTTTTAGTGGGAAATCCTGCCAAGGTAGAGATGACATATTTGGAACAGCAGAATCCAAAGGTAATGGCACTCATTAGTTGCAGCCACTTAAGTCCTGTTTCCATGGGGCTAGAAACCAGCTACGCACTTTCTGGAGAAATCACTTTGTTAGAAAGATGCTGGCCAGAGGAGGTGGGGCCTAAGCAGGCTCTGTAAGCAGCTGGCTTGTAATTTGGTAGGGCACTAACCTGAGAAGCTGGGTCAGCACCTTTCTAGTAGGATCACGCTTAGTAAAACATGCCCTCTTTTTCTTAAAAGGGCAAGCAAGCACAGTCCAGCTGTGGGGTCCTGCTGGCTGCTGAAAGCGCTCATGCACAGGAGCAGCGCTTGCATCACTCCTCTGCTACAGAGTCCTCTTGAGCAAACTGGGAAGGAATCGTGGAGCAGGCCTGATGTGTTGCAGGCCCAGGACTGAGCGAGCTGTTCTCTCTGGGATTAAATGTGGCAGAGGGTCGGGCAGAAGCCGGGACAGAACTGGGGCTATAGAGCAGGGGAGAGGCGCATGGATGTTGTCTCTCTGGTCTTTCTGAATCCGAGCCCTGCCCATGCCAGACCTTTCAAAGAGAGGTGAAGCCAAGTGCTCTGCTCTAACTCTCCTTACCCATCCATTGCCTGACCTGTCATTCAGAAGTGAGATGCTGAATGCAGAATTGAGGTGCCTGATCATGATCAGTTCCCTGCTTTTACATGCAGGAGGGTGCAGGTTCAGTACATTACTCTGGTGCCAAGTACAAAATTCCCTCTTGGGGCTTTATCTGGCTTCCCACCAACAGTTCTGTTCTGTTTGTATTATTTTATGCATTTCTCCATCTGCTTAAGTCGTAAGTCTGCATGGGGCCATGCGGCAGGGAGGGGCCTGTTTACATTGTGCCCTCCCAGTCATGTATCAAACTAAGATTTTATTTTTTTTATTTTTTTTCAAGGCTGCTTAAGGGCTGAGGACACCAAATTCCCATTCATTTTAATGGGAATCAGGCCCTTGTCTCCCCCAGCTATCTTTAAACTCTTGGCTTAAGTGTTTACTTAAGAGCTGGCTAAATCGCTGCCGATCTATTTTTAAGGTCAGATGTGTTCTCGTGGCAGCCGAGGAATGCAATGCCATTTATCCCCCACCCTCCCTATAGCCTAGTTAATACCACCAAAAACATCTGTCTGAGACCAGGCACTGTAAGGTAGCAAAGGACATCGAATGAAGCCAGAAATGTCAGGAAGGGACTTGGAGAGGCCAAGGGCAAGTTAAAATTGGAAATAAAACTCACTGTGCTGTTTTGCATAGGCCATTGCAGAACTTTATCCACCCGTATTTTTTCCTCTACCGCTGCTGTCATTACGTGTCCACAACTGAGTTCCCAGCTGGAGTCAGGGCCTCATTTTGCCAGGCAGCACAAACACAGTGAGACGGGGCTTTCAATCAAAGAGCCTTGAAGTCAGAAGTTCAGCGGGCGCTAAGCGTCTTGAGCTCCTTTGAAGCTTCCAGGCTGGGCTGACTAGTGGTGGAAGGAGACGGGCCGTGCCCAAAGTCACCAATCAGGACAGTGGCTGAGCGAGGAATAGACCTCAAGTCTGAATCCCCAGCCTTAGACGGTGCTGCTTCTGCAGCAATATGAGAACTGAATTGTGTGGAAGAAATCCCAGAACTGAGACGGCCACTCTTCTACGTCCCTTCACCCACTGCCCTGCGCCCTTCTCCAGTTCGGTATGCCTTCTGTGTTTGTTAGGCATGCTTTTCCCACTGTCCTTAACATTTCCAGCATACTCCAGATTTTTGTCTAGAAAATGCAGAACTCTGCTAGAGAAGGCTCTGAGCTCTGAAATCTGCTTGTCACACCGACAAGTTTGGACAGCAGCTATTTCACCCACCCTCTCCAGCACCAGAGTAGCGTGTTAGCTGCTAAAAGTACTGAAATAGTTCACAGGGACCTTCAGAGCCATTTGAGTGGGCCTCCGAGTGAATGCTCCACTGAGAGCAAGGCAAGGCCGTGTTCACCTCTTGGAAGTAGCAAGGCAGACTGTCCCCAGATTCAGGCCACGCTACACCAGCTGCCAGTCAGTTTGTATCTTGAAGATCTCCAGAGCCTAAAAGAATGGTGGCTATTTAAAAAAGTTAACCATGTTTTGCAAATGGAAAAACATGGCAAAGTTTGGAGACTGAATTAAGAGGAAGAGAAGGAAATGCACAGAGACAGGAGAATGCTTCTTGATCTCACCTTCAGCAAGGGTCTGCAAAGTATGTCATGCTGCAGCGGTAACTGGTTCCTGCCTCGTGCTGCCCCAACCTTTCCCTCATTCGCATCTTGGTCAAGTTTGGTGCCTTCAACCCAAGATAGTTGGCCCATTTGGGGCCAGAAGCTAACACCTGGGTGAGGTTTGCAGTCAGGCTAGTAACTCTCCATGCACGTTGAAGTGAGGACATGATATTCCCAGTATCTCTCCTAACTTATCCTTCCCCCAACCCTCACCAGGTGTCCAGAAAGAGAGGGGCATGCTCTGCCCTGATTCTCTGCTCAAGAATCTAAATGGCTGAGCTCGGTGCAGCACCCTGAACCACGGGACACAGCCCCAGGAAACCTAGGGACACCCACAGTGAAGACGCAGTAACTGGGGCAGGGCATTGCAGTCGAGCTGTTCCCAAGTGACACCAGTCACCTGAGTTCTCTGTTGTGAAGACGTCCCAGTAGATGGCCTTCAATTGCTTCTTGGCCCTTTCCATTCCTCCAGAATAGCTAATGCCTGATCTTCAGAAATAAAAATTTGATAACGTGGACGTTAAGTGACGCAGCTGCGTGCACCGTGTAAAAACTTTGTGATGTGTTGTCTCCTCCCTTATGTGAAGGGGTCAACGCTCCTATAACGCTAGCTTTTAGGCGGTATTTGCAGAATCCTGCAAAACTCTTATTTCCAGCATAGTTCTGTGTCTTTGAAATGAATGGGAGTTGCCACGGTGTTGCGTATAAATAGGATGAGGCCCTTAGCTCTTGCTACCATGACTCCTTCTGTTAGCAGT